AACACCCAAAACACCCCAAAATCCGGGTCGGAGCAACGAAAATACACCGAAAATACACCAAAAACTGGCTGGGAACACCCAAAATACCCCGAAATCCAGGTCGGGACAGCTGAAAATACACCGAAAACCAGCTCGGAACAGCCCAAAAACTGGCTGGGAACACCGAAAATACCCCAAAATCCGGGTCAGAACAGCCCAAATACCTGAAAAATCATCTGGGAACACCCAAAACACCCCAAAATCTGGGTCAGGACAGCTGAAAATACACCAAAATCTGTCTGGGAACACCCAAAATACCCCAAAATCTGGGTCAGAACACGGAAAATACCTGAAAAATCGTCTGGGAACACCAAAAATACCCCAAAATCCGGGTTAAAACAGCTGAAAATACACTGAAAATACCCCAAAATCCACCTCGGAACAGCCAAAATACACCGAAAATACCCCAAAAACCGTCTGGGAACACCCAAAACACCCCGAAATCCGGGTCAGAACACTGAAAATACACCGAAAATACCCCAAAAACTGGCTGGGAACACTGAAAATACGTGAAAGATCAGCTGGGAACACCCAAAAATACCCCCAAATCCATCCGGGACAGCCAAAATACACCGAAAATACACCAAAACCCGGATGGGAACACCCAAAAAATACCCCAAAATCCGGGTCAGAACAGCCGAAAATACCCCAAAATCCGGGTTGGAACAGCCGAAATAGCTGAAAAATCAGCTGGGAACACCGAAAATACACCAAAAACTGGCTGGGAACACCTGAAATACCCCAAAACCGGCCATGAACACCCAAAAACCGGCTGGGAACACCCAAAAATACTCAAAAAATCAGCTGGGAACACCTGGAATACCCCAAAAATCACCTGGAAACACCTGAGATCTGAAAAACAACCAGAAAGACCCAAAAATACCCCAAAAACCATCTGGGAACACCTGGGAACACCTGAAATACCCCCAAAATCAGCTGGAAACACCCAAAATACCAAAAGAATCTACAGGGAACACCCAAAATACCCCCAAAACGGCCACAAACACCCAAAAATACCTGAAAAATCAGCTGGGAACACCCAAAAATACCCAAAAAATCGGCTGGGAACACCCGAAATACCCCAAAAATTGGCTGGGAACTTCTGAGAACATCTGAAAAACAACCGGAAACACCCAAACACACCAAAAAATACCCCAAAACACCCCAGAAGTTGTCTGGAAACATCTGAAAAACAACCAGAAACACCCAAAACTACCTGAAAACACCCAAAGAAACGGCCAGGAAGATCTGAAAATACCCCAAAAATCGGCTTGAAACACCTGAGAACGTCTGAAAAACAACTGGAAACACCCAAAATCACCCAAAAATGCCCCAAAAGTCGGCCAGAAACACCTGAAAATACCCCCAAAAATCGATGGAAACGTGAAAATCACTGAAAAAAAAATCTGTGAAACACCTGAAAACCAGCTGGAAACGCCCAAAAATACCCCAAAAAACAGCTGGAAACATGAAAAAAAATCCAAACCATCAGAAAACCAGCAAAAATCGCCTGGGAAACACTCGAAAAACAGCCGGAAACACTCAAAAAGGTCAAAAAATACACCGAAACCAGCCAGAAACAGGAAAAAACACCTGGAAATGCCTGAAAAACTACAAAATACAGCCAGAAACACCCAAAATTCCCCCTAAAACCGCTGGAAATGCCAAAAAATACCTGAAAAACAGCTGGAAACACCCAAAAACACCCCAAAAACCAGCTGGAAAAATGAAAAAAATCCAAACCATCTGAAAACCAGCAAAAATCGCCTGGGAAACACCCAAAAAACAGCTGGAAACACCCAAAATGGTCAAAAAATACCCTCAAACCAGCCAGAAACGGGAAAAAACACCTGGAAATGCCTGAAAAACAGCCAAAAACCAAACAACAAAAAACAACAACAACCAGCCAGAAACACCCAAAGTTCCCCCCCAAACAGCTGGAAATACTAAAAATTACTTAAAAACCAGCTGGAAACACCCAAAAACACCCCAAATGCCAAAAAATACCTGAAAAACAGCTGGAAGCACCCAAAAATAGTAAAAAATACCCTCAAACCAGCCAGAAACAGGAAAAAACACCAGAAAATAGCTGAAAAACAGCTGGAAACACCCAAAAATACCCCAAAAAACCCTGAAATTCAGCCAAAAAAAAAGAAAAAAAATCTGAAAACACCCCGAAAATATCTGAAAAAACAGAAAATACCCAAAAACCGCAGAAAAATACCCCAAAAATGCCCAAAACTGGGTGAAAACCACTCGGAAACACCCGAAAAACACCCGGAGAAGAGAAAAATATACCAAAAAAAATCACCCGAAACTCACCCAAAAATCTCCCCAAAAAAAAGAAAAAAAATCTGAAAACACCCCGAAAATATCTGAAAAAACAGAAAATACCCAAAAACCGCAGAAAAATACCCCAAAAATGCCCAAAACTGGGTGAAAACCACTCGGAAACACCCGAAAAACACCCGGAGAAGAGAAAAATAGCCCCAGAAATACCCCGAGAAATAACCCCAAAATTTTGGGGAAACGAGCGAAACTCATCCAAAAACCAAAAAAAATCACCCGAAACTCACCCACAAATACCAAAAATCCCAAAACCCCCTCCCCAAAATTCACTGTGAACTCCCCAAAATTCACTGTGAACACCCCAAGCCACTGTGAACCCCAAAATCCCTCAAAATTACCCCAGATCTTCCCAAAATTACCCCCAAATTTTCCCTGAATTCCCCCAAAATTCCCCCAAATTTCCCCCCAATCACCCCCAAATTCCCCCAAATCTTCCCCAAAATCCCCCAAATAAACCCCAAAACCAGATGTGAAAATTGTGTTTTATTACAAACGGGAATTTTGGGGGGATTTGGGGGCTTTTGTGGAAATTTTTGGGATTTTTGGGAGTTTTTTGAGAAATTTTGGGGGAGGATCTTAAAAAAATTCCGGGGGATTTTTAGGGAATTTTTTGTTGTTTTTTGGGGATTTTTTGGGAATTTTTTTGTTGTTTTTTTTTGGGAATTTTTCATTTTTAGGGGATTTTGGGGGTTTTTTAGGGAATTTTTTTTTTGTTCTTTTTTAATTTTGGGGGGAATTTGGGGGATTTTGGGTCCCTCAGAAGTGGGCGGTGACGCGGTCGATCTCCAGGAGGTCGTCCAGGATCTGTGGGGGAGGGGAGAGAGGTCAGGGGCTCACCTGGCCCGAAATTCACCTGGCCTGAAACGTACCTGTCCAATCCTTACCTGGCCCGAAATTCACCTGTCCCAAAACTCACCTGGCCAAACCTCACCAATCCAAGACTCACCTGGCCCGAAACTCACCTGTCCAATCCTCACCTGTTTGAACCTCACCTGTCCGAACCTCACCTGTCCTGAGCCTCACCTGGCCCGAAACTCACCTGTTCAAAACCTCACCTGGCCTGAAATTCACCTGTCCTGAGCCTCACCTGTGCAATCCTTACCTGGCCCAGAACTTACCTGTTGAATCCTCACCTGTCCAATCCTCACCTGTCCTGAGCCTCACCTGTGCAATCCTCACCTGTTTGAACCTCACCTGTCCAAGCCTCACCTGGCCTGAACCTCACTGTCCAGAACTTCACCTGCCCAATCCTCACCTGTTTGAACCTCACCTGGCCAAACCTCACCTGTCCTGAGCCTCACCTGTCCTGAGCCTCACCTGGACAATCCTCATCTGTCCAAACCTCACCTGTCCTGAGCCTCACCCGACCAAACCTCACCTGTTCCAGAATTTATCTGTCCCAAATCTTCACCTGTCCAATCCTCCCCTGTCCTGAGCCTCACCCGACCAAACCTCACCTGTTCCAGAATTTATCTGTCCCAAATCTTCACCTGTCCAATCCTCCCCTGTCCTGAGCCTCACCCGACCAAACCTCACCTGTTCCAGAATTTATCTGTCCCAAATCTTCACCTGTCCAATCCTCCCCTGTCCTGAGCCTCACCCGACCAAACCTCACCTGTTCCAGAATTTATCTGTCCCAAATCTTCACCTGTCCAATCCTCCCCTGTCCTGAGCCTCACCCGACCAAACCTCACCTGTTCCAGAATTTATCTGTCCCAAATCTTCACCTGTCCAATCCTCAACCTGTGCAATCCTCACCTGTCCAAACCTCACCTGTCCAAGCCTCACCTGTCCTGAGCCTCACCTGGACAAACCTCACCTGGCCCGAAACTCACCTGTCCAATCCTCGCCTGTCCAATCCTCACCTGCCCAGCCCCACATCTGCCCAGCCCCACCTGCCCAGCCCCACATTGGCGCTCAGGTACAGGAACCTGCCCAGCAGTTCCCCGTCCAGCACGTTGCGCACGGCGTTCTGCAGCAGGCGCCGCTCCGACTGCAGCAGCCTGACACAGGTGAGACAGGTGAGATACGGACAGGTGAGACAGGTGAGAGGTGAAAGGTGAAGCAGGTGAGGGACAGGGGAGACACGGCAGACAGGTGAGACAGGTGAGACAAAGAAGTGGTGAAAGACACCCCACACCTGCCCAGGTGCCACTCACGATGTCAGGTGTGGTGCCGATCTTCTTGGCCAGCTCGCCGCAGCCCCACACCTGCCCAGCCCCACACCTGCCCAGCCCCACACCTGCCCAGCCCCACACCTGCCCAGCCCCACACCTGCCCAGCCCAGCCTCGCACCTGCCCAGCCCACACCTGCCCAGGTGCCACTCACGATGTCAGGTGTGGTGCCGATCTTCTTGGCCAGCTCGCCGCGCTCCATGGCGCTCAGGTACAGGAACCTGCCCAGCAGTTCCCCGTCCAGCACGTTGCGCACGGCGTTCTGCAGCAGGCGCCGCTCCGACTGCAGCAGCCTGACACAGGTGAGACAGGTGAGACACGGACAGGTGAGACAGGTGAGATACGGACAGGTGAGACAGGTGAGAGGTGAAAGGTGAAGCAGGTGAGGGACAGGGGAGACACGGCAGACAGGTGAGACAGGTGAGACAAAGAAGTGGTGAAAGACAGGTGAGAGGGGAGACAGGTGAGAGTGGACAATTGGGACAGGTGAGATGGGACAGGTGAGGAGCAGGTGAACAGGTGAGATGGGACAGGTGAGGGGCAGGTGAACCGGTGAGATGGGACAGGTGTGACATGGGACAGGTGAGATGGGACAGGTGAGAGGTGAGACAGGTGAGAGCAGACAATTGGGACGGGTGTGAGATGGGACAGGTGAGATGGGACAGGTGAGGAGCAGGTGAACCGGTGAGATGGGACAGATGTGAGATGGGACAGGTGAGGGGCAGGTGAGCAGGTGAGATGGGACAGGCGTGACATGGGACAGGTGAGACCGGTGAGACAGGTGAGGGACAGGGGACAGGAGAGACAGGTGAAAGGTGAGACAGGTGCTAGGTGTGAGATGGGACAGGTGAGGGGCCTGGGGACAGGTGAGATGGGACAGGTGAGGGGCAGGTGAACAGGTGAGATGGGACAGGTGTGAGATGGGACAGGTGAGGGGCACGGGGACAGGTGAGATGGGACTGGTGCAACAGGTGAGACAGGTGTGGGATGGGACAGGTGTGGGACAGGTAAGGGACCAGTGAGGGATGGATGAATGACAGGTGAGGGACAGGTGTGGGACACAGCTGGGACAGGTGAGAGACCTGGGACAGGAGAGGTGAGGAACATGGGACAGGTGAGACAGGTGAGATACAGGTGAGATGAGACAGGTGAGGGACAGGGGACAGGTGTGTGATGGGAAAAGTGTGGAACAGGTGGGACAGGTGAGGGACAGGTAAGAAAAGACAGGTGAAGGACAGGTAAGGAACAAAGACAGGTGAGACAGGTGGGAAGTGTGGGACATGGATAGGACAGGTGAGGTGGGACAGGTGTGAGGCAATGCTAGGACAGGTGTGGGGCAGGCGATGGTACCTAAATGCCTCGAGGTTGAGCCCTGCCAGGTACGGCAGGTGTGCACGTGTACACAGGTGTGGGCAGGTGTGCAGAGGTGTGTGCAAGTGTGCACAAGTGTGTAAAGGTGTGCAGAGGTGTGTCAGGTGTGCACGGGTGTGTACAGGTGTGCATGGGTGTGCACAGGCGTGCACAGGTGTGTGCAGGTGTGCAGAGGTGTGTCAGGTGTGCACGGGTGTGTACAGGTGTGCATGGGTGTGCACAGGTGTGCACAGGTGTGTCAGGTGTGCACGGGTGTGCAGAGGTGTGTCAGGTGTGCCATTATCTGAGTGCCCGTGGATTCAGCCCGGCCAGGTGCAGCAGGGTGGGTGTAGGACAGGTGTGTACAGGTGTACCCCAGGTGTGTTGAGGTGTTCCCCAGGTGTTATTTACCTTAACACTTGTGGGTTGAGCCTCGCCAGGTGGGGCAGGGCGGAGCTCCGGTGTGCACAGGTGTGTACAGGTGTATCCCAGGAGGATGTGCACAAGTGTGTAAAGGTGTGCACAGGTGTGTCAGGTGTGCACGGGTGTGCAGAGGTGTGTCAGGTGTGCCATTATCTGAGTGCCCGTGGATTCAGCCCGGCCAGGTGCAGCAGGGTGGGTGTAGGACAGGTGTGTACAGGTGTACCCCAGGTGTGTACAGGTGTACCCCAGGTGTTATTTACCTTAACACTTGTGGGTTGAGCCCCGCCAGGTGTGGCAGGGCGGAGCTCAGGTGTGCCCAGGTGTGTGTAGGTGTATCCCAGGTGTATCCCAGGTGTATCTCAGGTGTCCTTACCTGAACGCCCGCGGGTTGAGCCCCACCAGGTGGGGCAGGGCGGAGCTCAGGTGTGTACAGGTGTACCCCAGGTGTATCCCAGGTGTGCCCAGGTGTGTCCTTACCTGAACACCCGGCGGTTGAGCCCCACCAGGTGTGGCAGGGTGGAGCTCAGGTGTGTGTAGGTGTTCTCCAGGTGTATCCCAGCTGTGCCCAGGTGTCCCCAGGTGTATCCCAGGTGTGCCCAGGTGTCCCCAGGTGTTATTTACCTGAATGCCCGGGGGTTGAGCCCCGCCAGGTGCGGCAGGGTGGAGCTCCGCTGTGCACAGATGTATCCCAGGTGTATCCCAGGTGTATCCCAGGTGTTCCCCAGGTGTGCCCAGGTGTTATTTACCTGAACGCCCATGGGTTGAGCCCCGTCAGGTGTGGCAGGGCGGAGCTCAGGTGTGCTCAGGTGTGTGTAGGTGTACCCAGGTGTACCCCAGGTGTGTGTAGTTGTTCCCCAGGTGTATCCCAGGTGTATCTCAGGTGTCCTTACCTGAACGCCCGCGGGTTGAGCCCCGCCAGGTGCGGCAGGGCGGAGCTCAGGTGTGTACAGGTGTACCCCAGGTGTATCCCAGGTGTGTACAGGTGTGTCCTTACCTGAAGGCCCGCGGGTTGAGCCCCGCCAGGTGCGGCAGGGCGGAGCTCAGGTGTGTCCAGGTGTATCCCAGGTGTCCCCAGGTGTATCCCAGGTGTGTTCAGGTGTACCCCAGGTGTATCCCAGGTGTGTACAGGTGTGTCCTTACCTGAAGGCCCGCGGGTTGAGCCCCGCCAGGTGCGGCAGGGCGGAGCTCAGCGCGTTCTGCAGCATCAGCAATCTCCTGTAGGTTTTCTCCTGCATGGGCAGCAGCAGCCCCAGGCCCCCGTCCAGCGTCGCTGCGGGGACGGCGCCGTCAGCACCCCAAAAGCACAAATCCCAAAATCCCACCCCAAAACCCACCCCGATCCCAGAAACATCAAATCCCAAAACCCCAAATCCCACCCCAAAAACAACAAATCCCAGACAAAATCCCAAAAACAACAAATCCCAGCCAAAACAACAAATCCCACCCCAAAGCCCACAAACCCCAAATCCCAAAACAACAAATCCCAAAAACAACAAATCCCAGCCAAAATCCCAAAACCAAATCCCACCCAAAACACAAATCCCACCCAAAATCCCAAAACAACAAATCCCACCCCAAAAACAACAAATCCCAGACAAAATCCCAAAAACAACAAATCCCAGCCAAAATCCCAAAACCAAATCCCACCCAAAACACAAATCCCACCCAAAATCCCAAAACAACAAATCCCACCCCAAAAACAACAAATCCCAGACAAAATCCCAAAAACAACAAATCCCAGCCAAAATCCCAAAAACAACCAACCCCACCCCAAAACAAATCCCACCCAAAACACAAATCCCACCCAAAATCCCAAAACAACAAATCCCACCCCAAAAACAACAAATCCCAGACAAAATCCCAAAAACAACAAATCCCAGCCAAAATCCCAAAAACAACCAACCCCACCCCAAAACAAATCCCACCCAAAACACAAATCCCACCCAAAATCCCAAAACAACAAATCCCACCCCAAAAACAACAAATCCCAGACAAAATCCCAAAAACAACAAATCCCAGCCAAAATCCCAAAAACAACCAACCCCACCCCAAAACAAATCCCACCCAAAACACAAATCCCACCCAAAATCCCAAAACAACAAATCCCACCCCAAAAACAACAAATCCCAGACAAAATCCCAAAAACAACAAATCCCAGCCAAAATCCCAAAAACAACCAACCCCACCCCAAAACAAATCCCACCCAAAACACAAATCCCACCCAAAATCCCAAAACAACAAATCCCACCCCAAAAACAACAAATCCCAGACAAAATCCCAAAAACAACAAATCCCAGCCAAAATCCCAAAAACAACCAACCCCACCCCAAAACAAATCCCACCCAAAACACAAATCCCACCCAAAATCCCAAAACAACAAATCCCACCCCAAAAACAACAAATCCCAGACAAAATCCCAAAAACAACAAATCCCAGCCAAAATCCCAAAAACAACCAACCCCACCCCAAAACAAATCCCACCCAAAACACAAATCCCACCCAAAATCCCAAAACAACAAATCCCACCCCAAAAACAACAAATCCCAGACAAAATCCCAAAAACAACAAATCCCAGCCAAAATCCCAAAAACAACCAACCCCACCCCAAAACAAATCCCACCCAAAACACAAATCCCACCCAAAATCCCAAAACAACAAATCCCACCCCAAAAACAACAAATCCCAGACAAAATCCCAAAAACAACAAATCCCAGCCAAAATCCCAAAAACAACCAACCCCACCCCAAAACAAATCCCACCCAAAACACAAATCCCACCCAAAATCCCAAAACAACAAATCCCACCCCAAAAACAACAAATCCCAGACAAAATCCCAAAAACAACAAATCCCAGCCAAAATCCCAAAAACAACCAACCCCACCCCAAAACAAATCCCACCCAAAACACAAATCCCAAAAACAAATCCCAGCCAAAATCCCCAAAACAACAAATCCCAGAAACAGCAAATCCCATCCCAAATCCCGAAAACTACAAATCCCACCCCAAACCAACAAATCCCACCCCAAACCCAAAACCAACAAATTCCACCCCAAAACAACAAATCCCACCCCAAAACCCAAAACAACAAATCCCAAAACCAACAAATTCCACCCCAAAATCCCAGAAACCCCAAAACCCCAATCCCCCAAATTCTACCCCAAATCCTGGCAACTTGATCCCAAAACCCCAAATTCCACCCCAATCCCAAAACCCCAAAACCCATCCCAAATCCCACCCCCAGTCCAGAACCCCAAACTCAGCCTGAATCCCAGAAACCCCAAATCCCAGACCTGCACATCCCACCTGCAATCCCAGAAATCCCAAAACCCCAGAACCCCCAATCCCAAACCCCCAATCCCAAACCCCAAATCCCAAACCCTCCAATCCCAAACCCCCAATCCCAAACCCCCAATCCCAAACCCTCCAATCCCAAACCCCCAATCCCAAACCCCCAATCCCAAACCCCAAATCCCAAAATCCCAGAACCCCAAAACGCCCAATCCCAGAACCCCCAATCCCAAATCCCAGCACCCCAATCCCAGCACCCAACCCCAGCAGTCAGGGTCACACCTGGATCCTGCACCCCAAAGCCCAGCTGTGTCCCAGGTGTGTCCCCAGCCCAGGTGTGGCCCCAGCTGTCCCCAGGTGTGCCCAGGTGCCCCCAGGTGTGCCCAGGTGTGTTTCTCGCTGAACCAGGTGCTGTGCTTGTTCTCCCAGGTGTCCTCAGGTGTCCCCAGGTGTCCCCAGGTGTGCCCCAGGTGTGTCCCCACCCCAGGTGTGTCCCCAGGTGTGCCCCATACCAAACCAGGTGCTGTGCTTCTTCTCCCAGGTGTGTCCCCAGGTGTGTCCCCAGGTGTGTCCCAGGTGTGCCCCACATGTCCCCAGGTGCCCCCAGGTGTGTCCCCAGCCCAGGTGAGTCCCTCACTGAACCAGGTGCTGTGCTTGTTCCCCCAGGTGTCCCCAGGTGCCCCCAGGTGTGTGCCCAGCCCAGGTGTGCCCCCAGGTGAGTGACTCACCGAACCAGGTGCTGTGCTTGTTCTCCCAGGTGTGTCCCACCTGTCCCCAGGTGTGCCCAGGTGTATCCCCAGGTGTGCCCAGGTGTGCCCCAGGTGTGCCCCTACTGAACCAGGTGCTGTGCTTGTTCTCCCAGGTGTGCCCAGGTATCCCCAGGTGCCCCCAGGTGCCCCCAGGTGTTTCTCTCACCAAACCAGGTGATGTGCTTGTTCTCCCAGGTGTGTGCCCAGCCCAGGTGCCCCCAGGTCCATCCCAGGTGTCCCCAGGTATCCCCAGGTGTCCCCAGCTGTCCCCAGGTGTGCCCCATACCAAACCAGGTGATGTGCTTGTTCTCCCAGGTGTGCCCCACATGTCCCCAGGTGTGCCCCACACCGAACCAGGTGATGTGCTTGTTCTCCCAGGTGCCCCATGTGTGCCCAGGTGTTTCTCATACCGAACCAGGTGATGTGCTTGTTCTCCCAGGTGTCCCCAGGTGCCCCCAGGTCTATCTCAGGTGTATCCCAGGTGTATCCCAGGTGTGCCCAGGTGCCCCCAGCTGTCCCCAGGTGTGCCCAGGTGTGTCCCAGGTCCCCCCAAACATGCCCAGGTCTATCCCAGGTACCCCCAGGCGCCCCAGGTACCCCCAGGTCTATCCCAGGTGTGCCCAGGTGTGTCACAGGTGTACCCCCGGGTGTCACAGGTGCCCCAGGTGTGTCACAGGCACCCCCAGGTGTGCCCAGGTGTGCCCCAGGTGTGCCCAGGTGTGCCCCAGGTCTATCCCAGGTACACCCAGGTGCAGGTGTCCCCAGGTGTGTCCCAGCTGTCCCCAGGTGTGCCCACATGTCCCCAGGTGTGCCCCCAGGTGTGCCCCTACCGAACCAGGTGATGTGCTTGTTCCCCCAGGTGCCCCAGGTGTGCCCACATGTCCCCAGGTGTGCCCCCAGGTGTGCCCCTACCGAACCAGGTGATGTGCTTGTTCCCCCAGGTGCCCCAGGTGTGCCCAGGTGTGCCTCACCGAACCAGGTGATGTGCTTGTTCCCCCAGGTGCCCCAGGTGTGCCCAGGTGTGCCTCACCGAACCAGGTGATGTGCTTGTTCTCCCAGGTGCTGCTGCGCCGGTTGGGCCCCTCGGCGTGCCCGCGGCACGGCGTGCGCCAGAACGTGTTCACGTGCGCCCCCACGTGGAAGTCGGCGCGGCGCAGCAGCCGCAGCCCCCCGAAGGACTCCTTGGCTGGGGGGACACCCGCGTCACCGGGGCCACCCTGGGGTCACCCGGGGTCACCGGGGTCACCCGGGGCCACCGGGGTCACCCTGGGGTCACCGGGGTCACCCTGGGGTCACGCGGGGTCAGCGGCCCCGCCCCGCTCACCTTCCGGCAGGTACATGTACACCAGCAGGTTCCGGTCGCGGTCCGACACTGCGGGAGGGGTGCGGGGAAGTCAGACTGGTTTTACCCAAATTCTGCCCAATTTTAACCAAATTCTACCTGAATTTACCCAAATTCTACCTGAATTTAAACAAATTCTACCTGAATTTACCCAAATTCTACCTGAATTTAAACAAATTCTACCTGAATTTACCCAAATTCTACCTGAATTTAAACAAATTCTACCTGAATTTAAACAAATTCTAACTGAATTTAAACAAATTCTACCTAAATTTAAAGATTCTACCTGAATTTACCCAAATTCCTCACAAATTTAAACAAATTCTACCTGAATTTAAACAAATTCTACCCAAATTTACCCAAATTCTGCCCAAATTTAAACAAATTCTACCTAAATTTACCCAAATTCCTCACAAATTTGAACAAATTCTACCTGAATTTAAACAAATTCTACCTGAATTTACCCAAATTCTACCTGAATTTAAACAAATTCTACCTGAATTTAACCAAATTCTACCTGAATTTACCCAAATTATACCTGAATTTAAACAGATTCCACCCGAATTTAAACAAATTCTACCTGAATTTACCCAAATTCTACCTGAATTTACCCAAATTCTACCTGAATTTACCCAAATTCTACCTGAATTTACCCAAATTCTACCTGAATTTACCCAAATTCTACCTGAATTTACCCAAATTCTACCTGAATTTACCCAAATTCTACCTGAATTTACCCAAATTCTACCTGAATTTACCCAAATTCTACCTGAATTTACCCAAATTCTACCTGAATTTACCCAAATTCTACCTGAATTTACCCAAATTCTACCTGAATTTACCCAAATTCTACCTGAATTTACCCAAATTCTACCTGAATTTACCCAAATTCTACCTGAATTTACCCAAATTCTACCTGAATTTACCCAAATTCTACCTGAATTTACCCAAATTCCACACAAATTTAAACAAATTCTACCTAAATTCCACACAAATTCTACCTGAATTTAAACAAATTCTGCCCAAATTTAACCAAATTCTACCTGAATTTACTCAAATTCAACCTGAATTTATCCAAAGGTCAGCTTGAGGTCAAGAAAAATCCACGAAAAATTCACCAAAATCCAGCCAAACTCAACTACGGTTCAACCAAACCCAACTGAACCCAACCCAACCCAACCCAACTGAACTCAACCCAACCCAACTCAACCCAACCCAACGAAACTCAACCCAAACTCAACCAAACCCGACCACATCCAATCCAAACTCAGCCAAACCCAACTAAACACAACCCAACTAAACTCAACTCAACCCAACCCAACTGAACTCAACCAAACTCAATCAAACCAAATCAAATCCAATCCAAACTCAACCAATCTCTCATATGGCCAACTAAATTCAACCAAAACTCAAACCAAATACAGCCAACAAAACCCAACCCAAACTCAACCCAACCAAACCCATCTGAACTCAACCAAAACTCAACCAAACCAAACTACAGTCAACAAAACCTGACCCAAACTCAACCCAACCCAACTGAACTCAACCCAACCCAACTGAACTCAACCCAAACAAACCAAACTCAACCCAACTAAACTCAATTCATCTAAACTCAACAAAACCCAACAGAACTCAACCCAACCCAACTAAACTCAACTCAAGCAACTGAACTCAACCAAAACTCAACCAAACCAAACTACACTCAACAAAACCCGGCCCAAACTCAACCAAACTCAACTACGGTCAACCAAACCCAACTAAACTCAACCAAATACAATCCAAACTCAACCAAACCCAACTAAACTCAACCCAACCCAACCAAATCCAATCCAAACTCAACCAAACCCAACTAAACTCAACCCAACCCAACCAAATCCAATCCAAACTCAACCCAAAGCCAACTGAACTCAACCAAACCCAACCCAACCAAACGGAACCCAACCCAAACTCAACTCAACCCAAACCCATCCAAACCCAACTGAACTCACTCAAACCCAACCCAAATCCAACTAAACTCAAATCAAACTCAACTGAAACCCAACCAAACTCAACCCAACCCAACCCAAACTCAACGAAACCCAACTAAATTCAACCCAAACCCAACCACCATCAACCACACCCAACCCAACCCAACCCAAACTCAATAAAACTCAACTAAACCCAACTAAATTCAACCCAAACCCAACCACCATCAACCTCACCCAACCAAACCCAACCCAAACTCAATAAAACTCAACCCAACTAAATTCAACCCAAACTCAACCAAACCAAACCAACCCCTCCCAAACTCAACCCTAACCCAACCAAACTGAACCAAACCCAACTACCATCAACCAAACCAAATGAGGCTCTTCCAAACTCTACCAAACCCAACCCAAACTCAACCCAAACGCAACCAAACCCAACCCAAACTCAACCCAAACCAAACCCAACCCAAACTCAACCCAAACCCAACCAAACCCAACCCAAACTCACCCAAACCCAACCCAAACTCAACCCAAACCCAACCCAAACCCAACCAAACCCAACCCAAACCCAACCCAAACCCAACCAAACCCAACCCAAACTCAACCCAAACCCAACCAAACCCAACCCAAACCCAACCCAAACCCAACCAAACCCAACCCAAACTCAACCCAAACCCAACCCAACCCAAACTCAACCCAAACTCACCCGAACCCAACCTGAACTCAACCAAACCCAACCAAATCCAATCCAAACTCAACCAATCTCTCATATGGCCAACTAAACTCAACCAAAACTCAACCAAACCAAACTACAGTCAATAAAACCCAACCCAAACTCAACCACACTCAACTACGGTCAACCAAACCCAACTAAACTCAACCCAACCCAACCCAACCCCAACCAAACTCAACCAAAACTCAATCGAACCCAACCCAAGCTCAACCAAACCCAACTGAACCCAACCCAAACTCAACCAAACCAAACCAAACTCAATCAAACCCAACCCAAACTCAACTAAACCGAACCAAACTCAATCAAACCCAACCCAAACTCAACTAAACCGAACCAAACTCAATCAAACCCAACCCAAACTCAACTAAACCGAACCAAACTCAATCAAACCCAACCCAAACTCAACTAAACCGAACCAAACTCAATCAAACCCAACCCAAACTCAACTAAACCGAACCAAACTCAATCAAACCCAACCCAAACTCAACTAAACCGAACCAAACTCAATCAAACCCAACCCAAACTCAACTAAACCGAACCAAACTCAATCAAACCCAACCCAAACTCAACTAAACCGAACCAAACTCAATCAAACCCAACCCAAACTCAACTAAACCGAACCAAACTCAATCAAACCCAACCCAAACTCAACTAAACCGAACCAAACTCAATCAAACCCAACCCAAACTCAACTAAACCGAACCAAACTCAATCAAACCCAACCCAAACTCAACCCAAACCCAACCAAACCCAACCCAAACCCAACTGAACTCAACCCAAACCCAACTAAACCAACCCAAACCCAACTGAACCCAACCCGAACCCAACCAAATCCAACCCAAACCCAACCAAAACTCAACTGAAACCTAACCCAACCCAACCCAACTAAACCAACCCAAACCCAACCCAACTCAACCCAACCCAACCAAACCCAACCCAAACCCAACCAAACCCAACCCAAACTCAACCCAAACCAACCAAACTCAATCAAACCCAACCCAAACTCAACCCAAACCCAACCCAAACCCAACCAAACCCAACCCAAACCCAACTAAACCAACCCAAACCCAACTGAACCCAACCCGAACCCAACCAAATCCAACCCAAACCCAACCAAAACTCAACTGAAACCTAACCCAACCCAACCCAACTAAACCAACCCAAACCCAACCCAACTCAACCCAACCCAACCAAACCCAACCCAAACCCAACCAAACCCAACCCAAACTCAACCCAAACCCAACCAAACCCAACCCAACCCAACCCTCACCAACCCCCCCGCGCCGGGCCGCGTCCGTACCCAGGAATCCCAGCTGGGTGCCGTCCACCATGAAGTCCACGCTGTAGACCTCCAGCGGCTTGGCGTCCTGCGGGGACACCGCTGTCACCGTCACCGCCCCGGTGCCGGGGGTGGCACCTGGGCACCCCCCTGAGACCCCCAGGTGACCCCCGAGTGTCCCCCAGACCCTCGGGCTGCTCTGGAGACCGCTGAGGGTCCTCCAAGAGACTCCTGGAGAGTCCTCCAAGAGCCCCCAGTGTCCCTCAGGTGTCGCCCAAGACCCTCAGGTGTCCCCAACGACCTTCAGGCGTCCCCCAAGACCCTCAGGTGTCACCTCAGGTGTCACCCAAGTCCCTCAGGTGTCCGCCAAGACCCTCAGGTGTCCCTCAAGACCCTCAGGTGTCCCTCAAGACCCCCAGGTGTCCCCCAAGACCCCGGTTGTCATCCAAGACCTTCAGGTGTCACCCAAGACCCTCAGGTGTCACCTCAGGTGTCACCCAGGACCTTCAGGTGTCCTCCAGCACCTTCAGGTGTCCTCCAGGACCCTCAGATGTCACCCAAGACCTTCAGGTGTCCCCCAAGAGCCTCAGGTGTCCCTCAAGACCCTCAGGTGCCACCCAAGACCCCCAGGTGTCCCCCAAGACCCCGGTTGTCATCCAAGACCTTCAGGTGTCACCCAAGACCCTCAGGTGTCCCTCAAGACCCCAACCCTTGGATGTCCCCCAAGAACCCCAGGTGCCACCCAAGACCCCCAGGTGTCCCCCAAGACCCCGGTTGTCATCCAAGACCTTCAGGCGTCACCCAAGACCGTCAGGTGTCACCTCAGGTGTCCCCCAGGACCTTCAGGTGTTCTCCAGGACCCTCAGATGTTCTCCAGGACCCTCAGGTGTCACCCAGGACCCTCAGGTGTCCCCCAGGACCTTCAGGTGTTCTCCAGGACCCTCAGATGTTCTCCAGGACCCTCAGGTGTCACCCAGGACCCTCAGGTGTCCCCCAGGACCTTCAGGTGTTCTCCAGGACCCTCAGATGTTCTCCAGGACCCTCAGGTGTCCCCCAGGACCCTCAGGTGTCCCCCAGGACCTTCAGGTGTTCTCCAGGACCTTCAGGTGTCACCCAAGACCCTCAGGTGTCACCCAGGACCCTCAGGTGTCCCCCAGGACCTGCATGTGTCCCCCCGCAATGTCCCCAAGAACCCTCAGGTGTCCCCCAGGACCCTCAGGAGATCCCGAGACCCTGAGTGTCCCCTGAGATCTCTGAATGTCCCTCAAGACCCTCAGGTGTCACCCAACAATGTCCCCACGGACCCCAGCTGTCACCTAAAACTTCAGGCTCCACAGGAAGATCTGAGGGGACACGGGGACACCCCGAGGTCACCATGGAGGTCCTCAACCCCATGGTGGCCTCTGACACCTCCTTGGTGCCAATCCCAACCCAAACCCAAGCAATGCTGAGTGGCCACCACCATCATCCCGTTGTCCTTGAGGCTCCACAGGAAGATCTGAGGGGACACGGGGACACCCCGAGGTCACCATGGACCTCACGGTGGCCTGTCACACCGCCTTGGTGGCCCCTCAGGTCACCAACCCCAACCCAAACCCAACCAATGATGAGTGGCCACCAAGGATGGCTCATTGTCCTTGAGGCTCCTCAGGAAGATCTGAGGGGACACCCGGGGTCACCCTGGAGGTCCCTGATCTCATGGTGGCCTCTGACACCTCCCTGGTGGCCCCTCAGGTCATTGGCCCAAACCCAACGGATGCTGAGTGGCCACCACCACCATCCTGTTGTCCTTCAGGCTCCACAGGAGGAGCTGAGGGGACACAGACACCCCGAGGTCACCGTGGAGGTCCTCAACCCCATGGTGGCTTTGGACACCTCCCTGGTGGCCCCTCAAGTGACCAATCTGAACCCAACCGATGCCGAGTGGCCACCAAGGTCATCTCATTGGCCTTCAGGCTCCACAGGAGGATCTGAGGTGACAGGGACATCTCGAGGTCACCATGGAGGTCCTCAACCCAATGGTGGCCTCTGACACCGCCCTGGTGGCCCCTCAGGTGACCAATCTGGACCCAAGCAATGTTGAGTGGCCACCAAGGTTGGCTTGTTGTCCTTCAGGCTCCACAGGAGGATCTGAGGGGACACAGGGACACCCTGAGGTCACCATGGAGGTCCCTGACCTGAAGGTGGCCTTGGACACCGCCCTGGTGGCCCCTCAGGTCACTGGCCTAAACTCAACCAATGTTGTGTGACCACCAGCATCATTTCATTGGCCTTGAGGCTCCACAGGGGGATCTGAGGGCTCACCCCGGGGTCACCATGGAGCTCCTTGACCTCGTGGTGGCCTCTGACACCTCCCTGGTGGCCCATCAGGCCAACCCAAATCCAACCAACGCTGAGTGGCCACCAAGGATGGCTCACAGGCTCCACAGGAAGATCTGAGGGGATACGGGGACACCTCAATGTCACCATGGAGGTCCTGGACCTCACGGTGGCCTTGGAGACTGCCCTGGTGGCCCCTCAGGTCATTGGCCTAAACTCAACCGATGCTGAGTGACCACCAAGGTTGGCTCGTTGTCCTTGAGGCTCCTCAGGGGGATCTGAGAGGACACCTCGATGTCACCATGGAGGTCCCAGACCTCGTGGTGGCCTCTGACACCGCCCTGGTGGCCCCTCAGGTCACCAACCCCAACCCAAACCCAACCAACGCTCACAGGTGAGTCACAGGGTGCCCAGCTGTGACCTCAGACACCTGGGCACCACCTCGATCACGTCCAGGATTAGGATCTGACAGGTGAGACACGGACAGGTGAGACATGGACAGGTGAGACATGGAGAGACCAGGTGTGACAGGGACACCCTGGCACCACCTCGATCACAGCCAGGATCAGGATCTGACAGGTGAGAGGACAGGTGAGACATGGAGAGACCAGGTGTGACCTCAGACACCTGAGCACCACCTCGATCACGGCCAGGATCAGGATCTGACAGGTGAGCCAGGGACAGGTGAGACACGGACAGGTGAGCCATGGACACACCAGGTGGGACAGGGACAGGTGAGACACACCAGGTGTGACCTCAGACACCTGGGCACCACCTCGATCACGTCCAGGATCAGGATCTGACAGGTGAGACACAGGTGAGTCACAGGGTGCCCAGCTGTGACCTCAGACACCTGGGCACCACCTCGATCACAGCCAGGATCAGGATAGGTGAGACCAGGTGGGCACAGGTGAGACAATGGGGGGTCAGGGGGGGGTCATGGGGCACCCCAGGGGGCTCAGGTCACCCCGTGCAGGTGACGTGTGCCCACTCCTCCAGTGCGATCCTGCACAGGTGGGCACAGGTGAGACCAGGTGGGCACAGGTGGGGCCAGGGTGGGGTCAAAGGGGCACCCCAGGGGGCTCAGGTCACCCCGTGCAGGTGACGTGCTCCCACTGCTCCAGTGTGATCCTGCACAGGTGGGACCAGGTGAGACCAGGTGAGACCAGGTGGGCACAGGTGGGGTCAGGGTGGGGTCAGAATGAGGTCAAGGGGGCAGCCCAGGGGTCTCAGGTCACCCCGTGCAGGTGACGTGCTCCCACTGCTCCAGTGTGATCCTGCACAGGTGGGACCAGGTGAGACCAGGTGAGACCAGGTGAGACCAGGTGAGACCAGGTGAGACCAGGTGAGACCAGGTGAGACCAGGTGAGACCAGGTGAGACCAGGTGAGACCAGGTGAGACCAGGTGAGACCAGGTGAGACCAGGTGAGACCAGGTGAGACCAGGTGAGACCAGGTGAGACCAGGTGAGACCAGGTGAGACCAGGTGAGACCAGGTGAGACCAGGTGAGACCAGGTGAGACCAGGTGAGACCAGGTGAGACCAGGTGAGACCAGGTGAGACCAGGTGAGACCAGGTGAGACCAGGTGAGACCAGGTGAGACCAGGTGAGACCAGGTGAGACATGGGGGGGGTCAGGGGGGCACCCCAGGGGGCTCAGGTGATGCCCCAGGGGTCTCAGGTCACCCCATGCAGGTGACTTGTGCCCACTCCTCCAGGGCCATCCTGCACACGTGGGCACAGGTGAGACCAGGTGAGACATGGGGGGGTCACTGGGCACCCCAGGGGTCTCAGGTCACCCCGTGCAGGTGACGTGCTCCCACTGCTCCAGTGTGATCCTGCACAGGTGGGACCAGGTGAGACCAGGTGGGCACAGGTGAGACATGGGGGGTCAGGGGGAGTCATGGGGCACCCCAGGGGGCTCAGGTGATGCCCCAGGGACACATCACTTCATGCAGGTGACGTGCTCCCACTCCTCCAGCGCGATCCTGCACAGGTGGGACCAGGTGAGACCAGGTGGGCACAGGTGGGGTCAGGGTGGGGTCAGAATGAGGTCAAGGGGGCAGCCCAGGGGTCTCAGGTCACCCCGTGCAGGTGACGTGCTCCCACTGCTCCAGGGTGACCCTGGCACAGGTGACACCAGGTGAGACCAGGTGGGCACAGGTGGGGTCAGAATGAGGTCGGGGGCACCCCAGGGGGCTCAGGTGATGCCCCAGGGACACATCACTTCATGCAGGTGACGTGCTCCCACTCCTCCAGCGCGATCCTGCACAGGTGGGCACAGGTGAGACCAGGTGGGCACAGGTGAGACAATGGGGGGTCAGGGGGGGGTCATGGGGCACCCCAGGGGGCTCAGGTCACCCCGTGCAGGTGACGTGTGCCCACTCCTCCAGTGCGATCCTGCACAGGTGGGCACAGGTGAGACCAGGTGGGCACAGGTGGGGCCAGGGTGGGGTCAGAATGAGGTCAAGGGGGCAGCCCAGGGGTCTCAGGTCACCCCGTGCAGGTGACGTGCTCCCACTGCTCCAGTGCGATCCTGCACAGGTGGGACCAGGTGAGACCAGGTGGGCACAGGTGGGGTCAGAATGAGGTCAGGGGGCACCCCAGGAGTCTCAGGTGATACCCCAGGGGTCTCAGGTCACCCCGTGCAGGTGACGTGCTCCCACTCCTCCAGCGCGATCCTGCACAGGTGGGACCAGGTGAGACCAGGTGAGACCAGGTGGGCAGAGGTGAGACATGGGGGGGGTCAGGGTGGGGTCAGGGAGCACCCCAGGGGTCTCAGGTCACCCCGTGCAGGTGACGTGCTCCCACTGCTCCAGTGCGATCCTGCACAGGTGGGACCAGGTGAGACCAGGTGGGCACAGGTGGGGTCAGAATGAGGTCAGGGGGCACCCCAGGAGTCTCAGGTGATACCCCAGGGGTCTCAGGTCACCCCGTGCAGTTGAGGTGTGCCCACTCCTCCAGGGTGACCCTGGCACAGGTGGGACCAGGTGAGACCAGGTGGCGTTGGGGGTGTTGGGATTTGGGGTTCCTGGTGGGAATTTTGAGGTTCCTGATGGGATTTTGGGGTTCCTGATGGGATTTTTGAGGTTCCTGACGGAATTTTTGGGGTTCCCAGGAACATTTGGGGGTTTTTGGGGTTCCCAGGAGTTTTTGGGGTCCCACCTGGTGTTTGGGATGGGCGCCCAGCTGAGCTGGGATGGTGCGGGTCACTGTACGGGTTTGGGATTTGGGGTTCCCAATGGGATTTTTGGGGTTCCCAATGGGATTTTTGGGGTTCCCAGGAACATTTGGGATTTTTGGGGTTCCTGGTGGAATGTTTGGGGTTCCCAGGGACATTTTGGGGTTTTTGGGGTTCCCAGGAGTTTTTGGGGTCGCACCTGGTGTTGGGGATGGGCTCCCAGCTGAGTTGGGATGGTGCAGGTCACTGTACGGGTTTGGGATTTGGGGTTCCCGATGGGATTTTTGGGGTTCCTGATGGGATTTCTGGGGTTCCCAATGGGACATTTTGGGGTTTTTGGGGTTCCCAGGAGTTTTTGGGGTCGCACCTGGTGTTGGGGATGGGCTCCCAGCTGAGTTGGGATGGTGCAGGTCACTGTACGGGTTTGGGATTTGGGGTTCCCAATGGGATTTTTGGGGTTCCCAATAGGATTTTTGGGGTTCCCAGGAACATTTTGGGGTTTTTGGGGTTCCCAGGGGTTTTTGGGGTCCCACCTGGTGTTTGGGATGGGCTCCCAGCTGAGCTGGGATGGTGCAGGTCACTGTACGGGTTTGGGATTTGGGGTTCCCGATGGGATTTCTGGGGTTCCCAATAGGATTTTTGGGATTTTTTGGGTTCTCGATGGGATTTTTGGGGTTCCTGGAGTTTTCGGGGTTCCCGGAGTTTTTGGGGTCGCACCTGGTGCTGGGGATGGGCTCCCAGCTGAGCCGGGATTTCAGTGCTCATCACTGGGGTTTGGGATTCCCGGTGGGACTTTTGGGGTTCTCAATGGGGTTTTTGGGATTTTTTGGGTTCTCGATGGGATTTTTGGGGTTCCCAGGGACATTTTGGGGTTCCCAGGGGTTTTTGGGGTTCCCAGGGGTTTTGGGGTCGCACCTGGTGTTGGGGATGGCCTCCCAGCTGACAGGTGAGATGAGCTGGATGCTGAAGGCCTCCTGCTGGGGGGGCACGTAGCGCTCGTCTGGGGACAGGGGACAGCGGTCAGGGGACACCGGGGGGACTGGGGGGACTGGGGACACTGGGGATAGTTACACCCCTCAGGTGTATCCCCAGCTGTGCCCAGGTGTGTCCCCAGATGTCCCAGCTGTCCCCAGCTGTGCCCAGGTGTGTCTCCAGGTGTCTCCAGCTGTCCCCAGGTGTGCCCAGGTCCCCCCAGGTCTATCCCAGGTGTATCCCCAGCTGTCCCCCAAGTGTATCCCAGGTGTGTCCCAGCTGTCCCCATGTCCCCAGGTGTCCCAGGTGTATCTCAGGTGTCCCAGGTGTGTCCCAGCTGTGCCCAGGTGTGTCCCCAGCTGTCCCAGGGGGATCCCAGGTGTGTCCCGAGCTGTCCCAGGAGTATCTCAGGTGTCCCAGGTGTATCTCAGGTGTGTCCCAAGTGTCCCCAGGTGTATCTCAGGTGTCCCAGGTGTGTCCCAGGTGTGTCCCAGCTGTCCCAGGTGTGTCCCCAGCTGTCCCAGGTGTATCTCAGGTGTCCCAGGTGTGTCCCCAGGTGTCCCAGGTGTATCTCAGGTGTGTCCCAGCTGTGTCCCCAGGTGTCCCCAGGTGTATCCCAGGTGTATCTCAGGTGTATCTCAGGTGTGCCCAGGTGTATCTCAGGTGTATCTCAGGTGTCCCAGGTGCGCTGACCTCTCTCGATGCTCTCGAACTCCTTCTCCTCTCCCGTCATGCGCGGGATGCGCGTGCAGGGGTGGGGGGAGCTGGTGGCCACCGCGTACACCTGGGGAGGGGGCAGCACTCAGACCCCCCCGTGAGACCCCAAAACCCCCCAGGACCCCCCAAAACCCCCCGGGACCCCCCAAAACCCCCCGGGACCCCCCAAAACCCCGGTGTACACC